CAGATTTCTTGGACAGCCTGTAGCAGACTGAGCTGGGAAACTCCTTTAGTGATTTTGAGCAGGACTGCAAATCTGCAAATCAGTCAGCAAAATGATGGCAACATTATATTCTTGTTTACTTTAAACCCCCATGGACCCAAATCTTGTGGCCACGAGCCATCACTAAACCCCACTGCTGTAGTTGAAGTGAATTTCATTTTATTCCATAAGTTTTCTCTTTATCTGACAATGACACTGTTAACACAGGTGGCCAAAGGTTTGGCCAAAGAGACAGATGTGAAGACAGTGATGAGCTCAAGATAGAGAAGTCTTTAAGAGGCTATTCTAGACCTTAGGGGCTGATCTAGCTTAAGGCATACACTAAGGTGAAGGGATGAAAATCAAGGGTGTGCAAAAGTTTCAATTCCAATATAAGAGTAAGTGTAGAGATTATAGAGAGTTGTGGGGATGGATGAGATTTTGAAAATATGTGATTTCAGTAACTAGGGGTACAATTTCAAGATTGCCAGCAAGAGAGTGTGATGAGGCGAAACTTCCTTACTCAGAGAATTGTTATAATTTGGAACGCAACGTAACTACATGTCCTTTCACTTAAATCTCATTTCTATAATTTAAATGTGGGCAGACAATCATAACAGAAGGTTGTGCAAAATTGAATATTCCTAAAATACGAATTGTTCCTGCATTCAATATCCAACCCCAATGACCAAAAACAAGATCTACATCACAACTTCCTAAGTCAGGAAGCATGACAGTTGCATGTTGTGTGAAATCTGGACACTAAGGGCTAAATTTGATTAGTCCCTGATTGGCAACAATGGAGTAGAGGGCAATAAAATGGTGCGGATCTGTTTTTGCACCCCCTGATACAGTCTTGCCGCTGGGGAGTAAAAAATGCAATTGAGGTAGGCAGACTAACTGATTAAGGATGATTTTCCGGGTTTGCTGACATTTTGGCACCACCTTTCTAATATCTGCCCCTGGATGTCCACAGGCTGATTGTACAGAACATCACAGCTCAGCTCAGTATTATCCTCAGTCAGAGTTTATATAAATGTGTCCATGAGTATGCTTCCCACTGATACTCTCCAGTTGCCTGGACAGAGTCCAGATCTCAATCTGTCTTTATTTAGCTGACTCAGTGCCATTCTTTATTTACTAATGGTGAGAAAGTCTCTCACTGTCCTATCCTTCCTGTGCGCCTGGGGTCTCTATGTGCTGCCCTCAGTGGCGAAGAGAACACTGTCTAACTCCTTCTTGACTCTGCTTTTGGAAAGCAAGTCTGGAAAGGAATGAAGAGATACTGAGCAGCTCTGTGGCTGAAGGTGTCTGCTCCATGCACTGTTCCTAGTGGGGGACACCGCAATAAAGATCAACTCAGATAAAGACTGTCTTTGGTTTGCTCCAAAGTTGCCACATCCCACAGCCCCAGTGCAGAGAAATGTTGCAGCCTGGGATATTTCAAAGGTTTGTGTTGAGGGATACAATAAAGCTTGGGGCTGCTGCAAAGACTTTATGGGAAAAGGCCACAGACTAAGCCCTTACTGCTACAGAGCACAGAGAGGCTAGAATTTGTGCAAAACCCGTCAAGTTGTACAGCCCTTGTGGACTGAATGTCGGAACTGTAATTTTAAGAGGGATCGCACAGTGCCATATACTGTATTGACAGAAGCAGACCTATTTTGCACTTAAATTTGAACGATTAGGTAATTTACCTTGACAAATTTTAATGATTGAATATATTTTTGGAGAAAATTGTCAGTCCTGTAATTGCAACAGATCACTCTCTCATCTCGGTGTACAGAACAGAAAAAGAGTCACCAGGGACCTTGCTGTTGTTTGTCATTGAATGACCCATGTGCGTGAATGTCACGTTGCGTGCATTCAGCTAGTCATGTTTGCATGAGTTGCAAATCATGAGCCAGCCACTGGGTGGCGCTGTTAACCGACTTATGGTCACCCTGCATTAGTTACCCAGCAACAGGCCACCAATCCTTGTGGTCATTAAGATCCTTATTGGAAAATGTTAAATTTAGAAGGAAGATTGACAGCTTTCTGGCAAAGGAGGAAGCAACATAAAATAGTCAAAGAACTCAGTGGCTCATTAAGTGTACAATGGGTCTTCCAGTTCTCCAAGATAACACCCTCATAAAGTGGAAAACAACAGATTTTAGGCCAAAGAAAATATAAATAAAATCTATGACAGTGAATACTAGAACAGGGGTATGGCTGTATGACTTGGATTTCAAACCTCATTATAATAAGTCCTCACCTGAGCAGAGCTCCCTGGTCAACTCTGGTCAGAGTTTAAACCCAAAAAGCTGAGGAAATATAGACTAGATAAGAAAGAAGTGAGTTTAGAAGAAGGGTCTAGGCCCAAAACGTCAGCTTTCCTGCTCCTCTGATGCTGCTTGGCCTGCTGTGTTCATCCAGCTCTACACCTTGTTATCTCAGAGTCTCCAGCATCGGCACTTCCTACTATCTCTGAAACAAGTTTAGAAGTCTAAATGGAATATAACTTAATGCAAAGAGCCTGACAAATAAGCTCGAAAAGATAGACAAAGGAATCAATTATAGCAATGAGAAGGGATGATATCTTGGAAGGATCCCCAAATAAATCATTTCAGTAAAAGTAAAAAACACAAAAGGGGTAAACAGATAGTTGGGTGTGTGACATAGGCCCCTAAACAGTCAGGGACAGATAGAGGATCAAATATGCAATCAGATTTCAGAGAAGTGTAAGAATAAAAACAGTAAGGGATTTTAACCACAGAAATATTAACTTGGCTAGTTTTAGTATGCAAATTAGGGAAGGAACAATATTCTTAAATTGCATCCGGGAGAACTTCTAGGTGGTACATAGAAATCCAACAAGTGAGGGAGTAATTCTGGACCTAACATTCAGAAATGAGTCTAGGCCGGTGGGATGCATATCAGGATGGGCTGGGAATAAAAGTTCTAAAGGCTAATTTTACGAAGATAAAATACAATTTGACCCACGTGGACAAGGAGAAGACACCTGCAGATCAAAATATGTCAGAGCAGCGGGAGATAATCAAGGATGAAATAGCAAAGTATGGCAAATATGTTCCCATCAAGACAAAAGATGGGACCAAAACCAGAAAACCCCTGGATGTCAAAGGAAGTAAGGGCCAGGGTTACAAAACAAGGAGAAGCTTGTGACAGACACTGAGGCCTCAATATGACAGAATCCCTGGAGGGGTATAGAATGTGCAGGGGGAACCTTTAAAAGTTATGAAAGCAAAGAGGAAGCATTTGCAGGTAGGATAAAGGAAAAATGCAAACTTTTTTTTTGGGGTGGCACAGTGGCCAGCACTGCTGCCTCACAGCGCCAGGGACCTGGGTTCGATTTTACCCTCGGGCGGCTGCCTATGTGGAGTTTGCACATTCTCTGCGTGGGTTTCCTCCGGGTGCTCCGGTTTCCTCCCACAGTCAAAAGATGTGCAGGTTAGGTGGATTGGCCATGCTAAATTGCCTGTAGTGTTCAGGGAGGTATAGATTAGTTGGGTTATATGGGTCTGGGTGGGATGCTCTGAGGTTCGGTGTGGACTTGTTGGGCCAAAGGACCTGTTTCCACACTGCAGGGATTCTATGATTCTATGAACGTACAAAGAGTAAGAGAACAACAAGGGAAAGCATAGGGCCCATTAAGGACCATAGAGATAATCTGTATTTGGACCTGAAAGATGTGGGTACAGTCTTCAATAACTACTTTGCGTTGGCCTTCACAATGGGAATGGATAATACAGGTATTGATATCAGGGTGGAGGACCAAGAAATTATAATAGAGAGAGAGAGAAGATACTAAAGGGTTTATTAGCTTTAAAAGTGGATAAATTCACAGGCCTGAATGAGGTGTACCCTAGGCTGATAAGGCAGGTAAGGGAAGAAACTGCAGTGGCAGTGGTAGTAATTTTCAAATCCTCTCTGAGATGCTAGAGGACTGATGGACTGGTAACATTGTCTCATGATTAAAAAGAAAGGAAGAAGATATAGAACAGAAATGACAGGGCAGTCAATGTACTCTGGGGAAATTATTATAAAAATTTCGGAGGGACAGAATACATCTGCACTTGGAGAGGCACAGATTAATTAAGGATAGCATGGATTTGTTAAGGAAAGATGGTGTTTGACAAATTCGATTGAAATTTTTGAGGAGGTAACCAGGAGTGTTGATAAGGGTAAGTAAATAAATAAGACTCCATGGATTCCAAGGCAAAATGTCCAATTGGATACAAAATTGGCTGAGAGATTGGAAGCAGAGGAAAATAGCAGAGGGATGTTTCTGTGACTGGAAATCTGATTCTGCTGGGGTTCCACAGGGCTTAGTGCTGGAGCCCTTGCTCTTTGTGGTGTATATTAATGATTTTGACTTAAATGTAGGTGACCTGCTGAAGAAATTCACAGATGTCACAGAAGTTTCCAGGACCTCAATCGTGAGTAGGATAGCTGTAAACTGGAGGATGATATCAACGGACTGGTCAGATGGGCAGAGCAGTGTTTAAAGGAATTCAACCCGGAAAAGTGGGAGGTGGTGCATTCAGGGAGGGCTAACAAGGCAATAGATTATGCTAAACTTTGATTGATTTATTGTCACATGTATCTTGTTACAAGTACAGTGAAAAGTGTTGATCGTGTTGCCACTTTCCGGTGCCATCTTAAAAACAGAAAAATAAATGAAGAATATAAAGGCAGAAAAATGAAGAAATAAAGAAAATAAAGAAACATTAGAGTCCTTGTTGTGAGGTGCTCCATCATGGGCCTGGTGGCCAGGCACGAGCCTCTGAGCTGTCCTGCTGCCTCTGGAATGAAAGTTGATGCTCTTTGGTGCCATCTAGCCTCCACTGACAGAACTGGCACCATCTCGGTTACACACTTGAATATAAAACCAGAAGTTTTAAAAAAACAGCAGAAATAAAGGAAGCAAAGCCAAAGGAAATAGGAAACATCCAGATATTAGAGTCTGATTTAAGCCTTACCTCCGTGCAGGCACCCAAGCCAGGCCACAGGTTGCAGTCTCGGGAGAAACTGAGTGCTTGCTGCTGTGACCGCCTCTGATCTCCTGCTGTTGCCGCTGCCTCTGATTCTATAACTACAGGTGCTGCAACCGGATCCCACAACATGGCCAGGCAGGATCCGCTCACAGCCTCCAGTCACCAGATCCCACAACATGGCCAGGCAGGATCCACTCATAGCCTCCGATCGCCGGATCCTTCACCAGATCCCAGAGCATGCTCGGGCAGGGTCCATCACCAATACCTCGCCAAAGTAAAAGACATTAAACAAAAGGGGAGAAAAGCAGATGGAAGTGACAAGCTGTGGTTGGTTTCCTTGGAGCAGTGAAGCTTGGGTCAGAAACTCTCAGAACATTTAAGCAGTATTTAATTATTTACTTCCGATGCCATAGCCTTTAGGGCCATGGGCCAAAAGCTGGAAAATGGGATTGCTGTAGTCAGATCTTTTTTGACCAGTTTGGATGTGATGGGCCAAGTGGCCTCCTTCTATGTTGTAAACATCTGAGCCTGAGGATCATAAGGCAGACATTTTTCCCATTGCCAGCATTCATCCTCCAATAAATATTCATCAATTTGATGCTTGTGGGCTCTTGCTGTTTGTAAATTTCCATTGTGTTTCCCCACGTTAGATCAGGGACTGTACTTCCATGCATTGCATTGGCTGCAGAGCACTCAGAGGTTGTGAAAGCCAGGCACTTGACAAATGCATCTCCTTTCTCTTCCCTTTGATACCTTGAAATCAGAATGAGCCAGAAAAGATCTTTACGCAATTTCTTGGGGATGGGTGTAGGCTGGAATTCCAGATGGGTTTAAAAATTGAAACCTGATACTGATAATTGAAGCTGAGCTCTGAGCTGGTCTGCACTATCACTGAGTACACAATGTGTTTCCTGTCAGCGGCAGGCTGTCAAATACAATGGGATGTCAGTAAACCACCTCCACCACCACTTGACTGTCGGGAAGCTGCATTAACTTCCAGAACCAACGCGACTGTGCCTGACAAGGACACAGATTCCGAATAAACCTAGCACTAACTGTTCCCATTTATCACCAACACAAAAGCCATGAGAAATCAGAAGCATATTTCTGGGAAGGACCAGAAGCCAAAAATCCAGTGTGTTTTATCTAAGTGGCACTTAACATTTTCAAAGGTGAATTGTCAATGCTGTGGAGGACACAGCAGACTACAGGGAAATGTTGCCAAATACTTCCCGGCAGCAATAGACATCAGTCAACTCCCTGCCAGATTTTGATCCGGTGATTTGCTGTTTGTTCTCACAATGTGTTTCTGAACCTGTTTTTAATTAAATTGTGCAATTTAGGAAACTTGGTGATTGTGAACTGTGGCTTACATTCTACAGCAGGGTCAATTCATGCTTATTTTTGAAGGGTATTTACCTTTCAAGCATTTACTCGATATATTCTCCTTGTTTCCCCAGACCCTGTATGACCCGATGCCCAAGATGAATTGGATGATGTGCACAAGGTAGTCTCTGCAAAGCCCAGTCACAATTGAGTTATTAACCACCTGCGACCACAAGCCAAAGACCACTTCCACTTCTCGGAAACACCTGCCAAATGTGTGAGTGGAGATGTGGCTCATTACCCACACAAGGAGAAACAGAACACATGACCAGTGACATGATTTTCCTAGGTGGACTATCATATTCTATAACAAATGATTGCTGACGATAATGATTAACTGCAATACTGACATGTAGCATGAGGTCAAAATCCTCCAGGACCAGTAAAGTGGAAGGTTATTTATTTCAGGCACATATGAGTCAGCACTTTGAGTACCCTGGAGCAGCTGGTGTCTACAGTGGAACACAGCTCATTGTCATCCCTGATGTAAAATCTGTGAAAGCAGTTCTGTTGCAACCCAACTGGGGTAACATGATTGTGACTCATTCACTCTTTCCCAAGGTCTTTCTAAAATGAAGGGTTACTAAGGAGGTAAACACACTTGATAATGTCATACTGAGGCATGCAAATTGGGAAGAGGGTCCAGTTTGAGGCTTTGCTTAGCTGCCAAACCCAGTGAGGACAGTGCTGAGGCAATAGAAACATAGAAAATAGGGTCATAACATATGAATTTGGCCCATCGAGTCTGCTCTGCCATTCAATTATGGCTGATATGTCTCACAACCCCATTTCCTGCTTTCTACCTGTAACCCTTGATCCCCTTACTAATCAAAAAAACTATCTATCTCTGTCCTAAATACACTCAATGACTTGGCATTGACAGGTTTTTGTGGCAATGCGTTCCACAGAGTCACCAACCTCTGACTGAAAGAATTCATCCTCTTCTCAATTCTAAAGGATTGTCCTTTCAATCAGACACTGTGTCCTTGGGTCCTGGTCTCTCCTACTGGTAGAAACATCATCTCCATGTCCCCTCTATCCAGGCCTCTCAGTATTCTGTAAGTTTCATTCAGATGCCCCCTCATCCTTCTAAACTCCATTGAGTACAGACCCAGATTCTTCAACCGCTCTCCATTGAACAAACCCTTCCTAATTGCCAACCAAATCTGCATGTTAACCTTAAGAGAATCCTGAACTAGGACTCCTAAATCCCTTTGTGCTTCAGATTTCCAAAGCTTTTCAGCATTTAGAGAATAATCTACGCCTCTATTCTTCCTACCATGTTCATAACTTGCCACTTTCCACATTAAATTCCATCTACCACATCTTTGTCCACTCTCCTATCCTGCCAAGTCCTTCTACAACCTCTCCACTTCCTCAACACTATCTGCCCCCATCTATCTTTATGCCACCTGCAAACTTAGCAACAATGTGTGTAGTTCTTTTGTCTAGATCATTAATGTACAATATGAATTATTGCGGTCCCAAAAGTGACCCCTGCGGAATTCCACTAGTTACCAGCTGCCACCTGAAAAGACCCCTTTATTCCCGCTCTCTGCCTCCTGCCAGTCAGTCAATCCTCTATCCATGCCAGTCTTGTCCCTAACACCCTGGCCTCTTATCTTGTTTAGCAGCCTCCTATGCAGCATCTTGTCAAAGGTCTTCTGGAAATCTGAATGGATCACGTCCACTGGCTCTCCTTTGTCTAGCTTGTACGTTACCTGCTCAAAGAAAAATAGGAACAAGAGTATGCCATTTAGCCCTTCAAGCCTGCTCTGCTATTCAATATGTTCAAGGTTGATCATCCATTTCTGTTCCCGCTTTCTCCCATTTCTCTTTGATCGCTTTAGCTCTAGGAACTGTATCTAACTCTTTCTTGAAAACATTTAAAGTTTTGGCCTCAACCACTTTTTTTGGCAGAGATTCCACAGGCTCACTATTCTCTGGTTGAAGAATTTTTTCCTTATCTTAGTTCTAAATGGCATCCCCATATCTATAAACTGTGACCCCTGGTTCTGGATTCCCCAGTTATCAGGAACATCGTTCCTGCATTTACCCTGTCTAATTCTGGTAGAATGTTATAGATTTCTATGAGATTTCTCCCCCACTGTCCTTCTAAACACCAGTGAATATAGTCCTGATCCAGGACTATCATGGAACATAGGGCAACACAGTGGCTCAGTGGTTAGTGCTGCTGCATCATGGTGCCAGGGACCCAGGTTCAATTCCAGCCTTGGGTGACCATGTGGAATTTGGACATTCTCCCTGTGTCTGTGTGGGTTTCCGCTGGATGCTCTGTTTTCCTCCCACAGTCCAAAGATGTGCAGGTTAGGTGGATTGACCATGCTAAATCACTAATTGTGTCTAGGGATGCATAGGTTAGTTGGATTAGCCATGGGAAATGCAGGGTTGCAGAGATAAGGAGAGTCAGTGTGGACTTGTTGGGCAGAATGGCCTGTTTCCAAACTTTACAGATTCTATTAAAAACTGGTGCAAATCAGGAGAGAACTAAATCATGTTAGCTGTCATCCTTCTGTATGTAGACTGTGCCAATCCAGATGAGGTGAAGGTAACCTGCCTGATTCTGGTGGACTGCATTCCACTTTGGGTGAGTTTAAAAAGGGAAGTAAAATGGAAAATAGATTTTGGGCATTTTGAGGAATCCAATGTTCTATGTCATTGAATTCTGGGGAGTTTCACACTGCAGGTACTTCTTTAGTGTGTAATGTAATGAATTATTTCCATAAGCTAATCCACAATCACTATGAACAAAAAAAAGATGTTCAGTACACAATAATCTTCGATACTGAATTGGAGTGTGGGTCATGTGTACACACTGGTAATAATAAATTACAACCTCTTGTACTCTCTGACCGATATACAGATATAAATCACATACGCCAAACTGTGAATTGGGGTTATTAATAATGAACACTAAATAGAAGCTAAACAAAAGTTAATTTTGTAAGATCATAGTCCTTCATGCAACTCAGTCACTCAAAACAAAATAAAAACATTTTAATCAATTTGTGTCTGTGAGGTAACGTTTTAATATGAGCGACATTCATTCTGAAATCCTCCATTTGCTGGACACTTACACAAAAATGTTGTAGTAGATATTTTTGTAGCAGTCAGGATCTGACTGAAGAATGTACAATGCTAAGACTCCTGGCCACTGTCAAGTTTGCAATCCTAAATGATTGGCTGAACCCTCTCTCATTCCTCCACCCTGGTTATTATTTTTTTGATCAAACACATCCTCCATGGGAGGCAGGACTTAGAAGCTGCACCTCTTCATCCTCTGGGTGAGTATTTTCTGGACTCCCAGGTGCCTTTCCACCATTTACAAGCCACAAGTCAGGAGTGCAGTGAAATTCTCCCTATTTGCCTGGATGGGTGCAGCTTCAACTACATTCGAGAAGTTTGACACCATCCAGGACAAAGCTGCCAACTTGATTGGCACTACATTCACAAATATCCACTCCCTCCATTACCGACACTCAGTAGCAGCAGTGTGTAACATCTACAAGATCCACTGCATGGAATTTCCTCAGACAATATCTTCCAAATCTACAACCAGAAAGCAGATACACGGAAAGACCACTGAAGTAACTCCACAGAGGCCAGTGTTCTGTCACCAAGTCACCCTTTATTTACACATGCAGACCCCTTGACGCTGATCCAGCTCCCTCAGAGTGAACAGGATGTCTGACATGAGATAGTGGGAACTGCAGATGCTGGAGAATCTGAGATAACAAGGTATAGAGCTGGATGAACACAGCAGGCCAAGCAGCATCAGAGGAGCAGGAAGGCTGACATTTCAGGCCTAGACCCTTCTTCAGAAATGGGGGAGGGGAAGGGGGTTCTGAAATAAATAGGGAGAGAGGGGGAGGCGGATAGAAGATGGATACAGGAGAAGATAGGTGGAGAGGAGACAGACAGGTCAAAGAGGCGGGGATGGAGCCAGTAAAGGTGTGTGTAGGTGGGGAGTTAGGGAGGAGATAGGTCAGTCCAGGGAGGACAGACAGGTCAAGGGGGCGGGATGAGGTTAGTAGGTAGGAGATGGTGTTGCGGCTTGAGGTGGGAGGAGGGGATAGGTGGTAGGAAGGACAGGTTAGGGAGGCGGGGACAAGCTGGGCTGGTTTTGGGATGCGGTAGGGGGAGGGGTGATTTTGAAGCTTGTGAAGCCCACATTGATACCATTGGGCTGCAGGGTTCCCAAGCGGAATATGAGGTGCTGTTCCTGCAACCTTTGGGTGGCATCGTTGTGGCACTGCAGGAGGCCCAGGATGGACATGTCGTCTGAGGAATGGGAGGGGGAGTTGAAATGGTTCGCGACTGGGAGGTGCAGTTGTTTAGTGTGAAACAAGCGTAGGTGTTCTGCAAAGCGGTCCCCGAGCCTCCGCTTGGTTTCCCCAATGTAGAGGAGGCCACAACGGGAACAGCAGATGCAGTATACCACATTAGCAGATGTGCAGGTGAACATCTGCTTGATGTGGAAAGTCTTCTTGGGGCCTGTGATGGGGGTGAGGGGGGAGGTGTAGGGGCAGGTGTAGCACTTCCTGCGGATGCAGGGAAA